AATAAATAAAAACGTTGAAAAAAAAATTAAAAAAAAAAAATTAATATATGTGTTAATGTAAGATTGAACAATAGTTGTTATAACCACCAAAAAAGTGTTAGCTTTTATTCTTTTTCCTGTTACTAATGTAAAACACTATATAAAAACCACCCAAGCAACGTGGGATATAAAACCAAACCCCAAGAAAAGAAAAAACTTTATAAAGTCACTATCATGGTAGAGGAATTTAAATAATCACTCTCAGAATTTGACATAATTTTCCACAAAAGAGCAAGTCTAGAGAGGACTGGTTAATACGATCAACAAGGTAAAACACACACTCTGGTCTATACGAAAAGTAGAAAATATATTCTACATTTTATTTAGAACATCTGATTATTATGGAACCAAAAGAAGCTCTTATAAGATCTTCAAAAAAAGATTTTTATAATCCCCATGCTCTCTCCATGATCCAAGAAAACTAGAAATCAAAAAATAAAAATGCCAAAAAACAATGGAACAATGTCAATATTAAGATACCTACTTCCAAGCAACTTTTGGACACGACTCCTCTTCTCTGCAACAGTGAGATGCATGGCAATCAAGTGGCTGAGTCCCACCTAGTTGTGCTTGCCCAAGAATGGCCACCAACTAGTGGTTCCAAACCATTAGTGGTAGCATCTCCTCAGGGAAGATTTAGAAATGTGTAATTGTATGTACAGTCATTACAAAGACTGAGGAGTACTATTGGCATTTAGGGTTTGGGGGTCAAGACTGCTAAAGTTCAACAAAGCTCAGAATACTCTCACACAGGGTAGAACTTCCATGATCAAAGTGCCAATAAAGCCCCCACTGATAAACACCGTTTTAAAAGTGACTACGAGGCAACAGTGACTGCAGATGCTTAAGATACGTGTATTTGAAATTAAATTAGTCTACGGCTATACCACCCTGAACGCCCCTGATCTCGTCTGAAATTAAATTAGTATGACCATAGTAAAAAAGTCTTCTATAAAGCTAGCAGGCAATTCAAAGTTCAATTTTTTACAGCAAGAACCAAATTCAAGAACTTTCTTTGCTTTTGACAATAATATGAGAGCATATAAGACTCTGTTAAGAGATTGCTGCAGAAACTAATTTTTCTTTTATTACTAAGACTCAAAAAGAGTATTCATATTTATTCTCAGAATAGATAAATCGATAAATGAGTACATAGGGAACTGTAAATCAATTTAATTTGTTATTTAGATTATATTAGCTAAGTCAGATTCTGAGCAAAACACACTTGAGTCATTTACCAGAAGCATTAGTGCTTCTGGCAACTATGTTTTTCCACGTTCTCATGTAAAAAAATATTTCAACAATGTTCTTTCTTAGTACTTGTGATGGTACTAAGGTAAAAGCAATGTTCTTTTTTTAAAAATTTTTTTTTAACGTTTATTTATTTTTGAGACAGAGAGAGACAGAGCACGAACAGGGGAGGAGCAGAGAGAGAGGGAGACACAGAATCTGAAACAGGCTCCAGGCTCCGAGCTGTCAGCACAGAGCCTGACGCGGGGCTCAAACTCACGGACCGTGAGATCATGACCTGAGCCGAAGTTGGATGCCCAACCGACCAAGTCACCCAGGCACCCCGGTAAAAGCAATGTTCTATAGTAGATGGGATGTGGGGAGGAAAATGAAGAGACATGGGTTCTAGTCTTGGCTACGTGATCTTCTCTGTGTTTACCCATCAATTTAAAATTGGGATAATAGTATTTGCCTTACTTGTCCGAAGATGTTGGGATGCAGAACAACTACAAAGTCACCACAATGGCCTCCCACGCTACTCTGGAACTTTCCCTCTCTCTATCTCTCTCTTATTTCCAACCTACATTTTCCCTCCCTCACGCTGCTGAGCCACATTGGTTTCTCTGGTGTTCCTTGACTGTTAACCTAAGGTCTCAACACCGACATTCCTCTGCCCACAATGCTCTGTCTCTGAGAGCTTCAGGCTCACCCCCTCACTTCCCTCCTGGCATCAGGTCTCTGTTCTAATGCCACTTTTTTCAGAGAGGTAGTCATAGACCATCCTGTGAAACTTTCTCTTTTGCTTTATATTACTTTATCCTTTGACATAGCAGTGATCTGTGTAACATTTCGTATTCTAATTTGTTTGCTTACTGTCTGCCTCTTCTCTGCTACAAAGTAACCCCAAAGAATGCAAGAAATTTTCTTATCTTTTCTTCTGAATAATATTCTAATAATAAATTAGAGCTTTTCTGAATCCCTCTATATAAAAATTTAGCAGCATGTTTAGTCAGAAAGCTTGTATCTCTACTTTTCACTAATTCATGTGAAGTTACATAAACCTTATCTTATTTTTTGTGACATAATATATGCTTTCAGACACCATAATGATTTAGAATAATATGGCAAGTTACATTTTTAACATCTTTATTATATCATTTGCCTATCTTTATTATCCCAGTGCTCAAATATTCAAAGCATGCACTAATTTTGTATACTACTTCTCTGAAAGGTAGTATATGCACTCTCGTTTGAATTTTTTTTTCTTCCCTAAAAGCGACATGTTATATTTCAGGACTGTAATATGTCACAAACCAGATGGGCCGAAAGCATGTTATTTGCTCTGATAAAAGTTTTCAAATTGGTCCTGGGTTTTTGTTATTCATGCTTGTGTCTGTCTCCCCTACTGAAATGTAGCCTGATGGAAAGCCGAGTCCATTTCTCATCCATTATATATTTCCCTAATACTCTGTGCACGGCAGAAACTCCATGATTATTAATTTATTGTATATAGGCATTCATGCAAATGATGAGCAGCCCCTCCCTTTTTGAAACATAAGTAAAATAAGGAAGGTTACTTACATTTGGAGCCTGATGAAGATGACCCACTGACGGTAGATCTTGATCCCCCTTTCATGGAAAAGACTCCTTTACCCCTGCGAGTCGCTGTGACGGCCACTCTGGGGCGCTTCAGTGGAATTACTGCACGTGGAGGTGGGGGCACACGCCCATGGTAATCAAATAACCTTCACAAAACACAAGCATGGCTGAGAGTTGGTTTATGCCTAAGTGTTCTATCAAACGTGTGAAATGATTAAGAAAATGGCCTTGTAAAAAGTGTCAGTAAATGTTTCTGTTATCGTTGTTTGCACACAGGTGTTTATTGGAAGTTTCGTTTTCAATAAAGAGATAGGACGCTGATATAGTCTGTGCATTCTAGACATTAGAATCTGATCCTCCAATATGAACTCATTTTTAAAGTGTGACAGGTCAAGGAACTTTGCTCCAATGGTACCGTGCAATTTGTTGAAACTATGCTAAACTTTGTTCCTGAGTATTTCTTTGCTTCATTTAACAGATTTACCCTTCTTAGAATAGAAATCTTCCTCTTACACATCAACACTTATTAGCACAGTAGCTTGAAAAGAGGGAAAGATCATGCAGAATCAGGAACAAAGCAAAGGAAATTATTGTTCCATCATAACACAGCTCATCAGGAAAATCATTTTGAAGTAACTCTAGATTAAAGAGAACAGCTGTGAGAGACAAATCAACATGGTGCCATACCTGTCTCTAAGGACTTTTTATGTAAGAAAAGACTCCCCGGACTGTACAAACAAGGAGACTGAGTTTAAATAAAATGGCACCAGCAAGAGGACAAAATTTTGTTGCACATATTGTGGAAATATGTATTGGGATATCTTTTTATTATTCTGACCAGTTGCTAGACATGCAAATTGAGACTAGTGATATTTGTATAGTAAGCTGTTGAAAATTTCTCTAACCAAAAAAAAGTACCAATAAAAATCCTAGAAGCTTTTACCAAAAAGTGAAAAAATGATATTCACCACAATCAATGCATTTCCACTAAACAATGAAAGGAATAAAAGTATGAGAGTATTTACTCATTTATATACATATGTAATGCATAGATTCAAAAACTTCATATTCTTCATACTGCATACTCAAAAAACAGCAAATTTTTACATACTTAGCACATCTGAGAAGTGTAAAAAGTCAGGGAAAAACATGAGGATGTATTAGTCATTCATTTACCAGTGAACAAGATGCGTTACTATTTATCCAATAGAACGGACTTAGAATGATCATTGACATTACTTTATTGTGATACCACTATATGGATTATATTCTCAAAACTGCTTTAAAACAGTCAGTAAGAATAATCTAATATGGAAGTCAGAAGTGAATTTCTATAATACGAAGGAAAAAATTTCTACAACAGGTTATTTTATAACATTACATCTTATTTACATATACAGACGAATACCTTTTTAGAAAATAATATATGAAATATAATAAAAATTAAGATAGGCGGGTGTCCAAATATTCACTCAGAAACATTGAAAACTCTGATACAATGGGGGCAAAAAAGTAGTATATAAACCACACTCGAAGCAGAACTTAGTCCTGTGAATGTCTCCCGCATTAGACAGCTAAAGTGTTCAAAAACTATTTGGAAGCATGCTGGGGAGAAACTAAGAGATGTCTGGAAAGGAAAAGAAATGGAATGAGACAGAGTTCAACAGAGGTGCCATCCTCTGTGAATAAGCAAAGTCCATTAGAACTGAAGAACTGCTAGCAAAGAATGGGTCATGGAGGTCAGCACATTATAGTTTACTTCAAAGGGAAGCGTCAGGATGAAGCTGAAAAGGGTTATGAATATCATCCATACCACTGGGGGCTGGAAAATCAAAAGGGTCAACTAAGCCTGCCCCTCATTTCAATCACAAAACAAGGACCACATCACTTATTTATAAGTTGAATTCACAGAGCACCTTAAGCTAGTGAACCAAAATATGAAGGCACTTTTTAGGAGCTCTAACACCCAACACTGTCGAGGGGAAAAAATATGGCAATTGACTCATCTCTTCCAGGGTAGATGCTGCTGCTTCAGATGAGGGGCAGCCTGTTTTGGAAGGACCATCTCCCCTGGCCATGAAAGTGCAATTTAGCTGGTTCATTAATTAAGCTGATCTATAAATTGGGTTAAGAAAATTTCTAAAGCACAACTAAACTATGCAACAATGGAAGAAAGCTATAATGAAAATGCAGGCCAAGTAAAGCCACCATAGTCACCACTACTCCAGTTACAACGTAATTCAAGAATATTTTACAGGAAAGTGAAACAAATGATTATCACTATTTCTATTGCTTCCCCCGACCAAGGATTGCAAAGCTTCCACTGTTGGCCAGGCCTAATCTCATGTGAGAAAACAGAGCTGCATTTGTTCATTGTATTTGTGACATACTTTTAGTATGTCACATACTCAGTATGTGTTTAGAAACATACTCAGAAACATACTCAGTGTATGTGGTGCCCTTTGCCTTCAATTCCTATAAGAGCGTAACCCTTGATGAGTTGCTTCAAAGGGCAATAACTCCTTTCTCGTCAAGAAGTAGGGAAAGTTTTACCAATTCTTTCTGCCATTCTGATGGGAAGATGTGCAATATCAGAACTTAAATTTTGACAAGGGATATATAACAACAACAAATTTAACAACAACAACAAAAGCTAAAGAAGGGTATGGACACTTCACATGTCAGTATAATTTTGAATTTACAAAATTTAATGGAGCTGAGGAGTTTCTTAATTTTCATTGGCTACACTTGCTTTTTCAGAAATAAAAGGAAAGAAGACTGGATATTGTCCGAAGGCACAAAAACATAACAAGAGAAGGATGGGAAGTGGGGGCAGATTTTCTAGGATTCAAGATGGGATGCAGGTGTTCTTCTAAATGCAGATGGAAGTAGGTGAAAGCTAACTCATTGGCTTTCTCATCAGAATTCTGTTTATAGCTAATCTAAGAAATTTTGCCTTTACAAGGTATTAGTTAGCAAATATTGTCGAGACCATGGAAATAGTCCACTTAGAATTACAGACTGACAGCAAAGATCGCAAATGCAAGAGAATTAAATAGAATCTAAATTTCAAAGGTCAGTTAAAAGCTTAAAACTTTTTCCTCTCACTTGTTTTGTTCCTTCAATTGTTAGAATTATTTACCCTCTCTTTTTCTTTAATTGTTCTTCAGTTTCCCTAATATGCATAGAATACTGTTTTCCCTCTAATATTTATTGGTCAGATAGATAATTATTTATAATGAAGCCAAACACATAATTTTTCCTTCTTCAATGTCTACCTTAAAATAAGAACCCTAAAAGACCTACTCTCGAGCAGTTAATAAAATAAATGTAACCAGATTTTAATAAAAACAACCCATTAATGAAATTTGAGGATTTAGTTTGCTTTATTTAATAAACATATCTACTTTTCATGTGGTCATTTCTTGTTTTGCATTTTGTTTGCTTTAATAGTATCTGAGATATGTAATTTTATTACCCAGTAAAAGATAAAAACTGGTGAAGAATCTTAATATTTATACACCCGATAAAAATAAACATAGCTTGTTTCTAAGAAGGATATAGATATTAGCTATTAAAAATTATCTGTGTGGGGTACCTGGGTGGCTCAGTGGGTTGAGCATCTGACTTTGGCTCAGGTCATGATCTCACAGTTCATGGGTTCGAGCCCCGCACCCAGCTCTGAGCTGACAACTTGGAGCCTGCTTCAGATTCTCTGTCTCACTCTCTCTCTGCCCCTTTCCCACTCATGCTCTCTGCCTCTCAAAAATAAAGAAATGTAAATAAATAAATAAATAAATAAATAAATAAATAAAAAATTAGTTGTGTTTTGGACAAAGGCAATTTAAAGGCATAGTGACATATAAAATGAATGTGATTTTGAATGTTTGTTTTAATTAAAACCTTGTTAGTATTAAGCTTTAATAGTAATAAAGCAGAATTTTTGAAAAAATACATGAAAAAAACATAACTCCCAACATCATACTCTAAAAGTACTATCATTTTCTAAATATTTTCCACAGGTATCCTTATTTTTCACATAGTTGAGAACCTAATCTATGCATGGTCATGTATTCTGGCTAATTCTCCTTGGTTTATATTAAAAACATTTCTCAAGCCTGGTATGTAGTCTTCCTAATGTTTATTTTAATTGCTGTGGTGCATTTTCTCAAGTAGACATACCATCTTCTAATAATTACCTGAGAAACTTTGACTTATGTTTATTTTTCACTAATGTGATTTTAAAATTAAAAAAAATGTAATATTTGCATAATATTTTGTCACTGAACACTAAATTTTAATTTTAGATAAGTTATTTAGATAGATAGTTTTCAAGAATTGGTAATTACCTGTTTTGTTTTTTTTTTCTAAATTTCCTTCATGAGAAGAGTTGTTTCATTTTAATTACTTGTGAATCAAAAGTTAATGTGGCTAATGCTAACAAAAATATGTGGTCTGGACTAAGGGCTCAAAAACTAGGCTGCCTAGAGTCAAAACCTGAGAACAAGTTCAGAGCCATGACCTCACTGGGGTTTTTTAGCATATGTGAAAATCAGTAACCAGAGCATCAGAGATCTTCCTCTGTGTCTTGATTCAACCTTAAACCCTCCTCTTCAGCATGCTTAAGTTCTGATAGTTGTATAGTCTACAAAATCAGATTAAGGTGCCTCTTTATTTTTCAGAAGGGATATATTTGAAATCCACGTGAATGATTCTTATAGCTTATAGTTATATCTATTTTCTATACTGCTTGAACTACTCAAAATTCATAAAATCTGTCTATAATTTCCACCCGACTTCAAGTAAGCCTTTGGTTACAACTGAATCCACAGAGAATTGTCAAAGGCACGCTCCACTGGAGACCAGTAAATGAATAACTTCTGTTGTTTTTCTGTTATTGAAATTTCCTAAGATTGTCAGTGAAGTTGTCTCCCTGGGTCTTGGACATGATTTTAAAGGCAAGGTGGTTGATGGGGAACCTGGTGGCTCAGTCAGTTAAGCATCTGACTTCAGCTCAGGTCATGATCTCATAGTTGGTGAGTTTGAGCCCCGAATCCATAGGGCTCTACTCTAACAGCTCAGAGCCTGGGGCCAGTTTCAGATTCTGTATCTTCCTCTCTGTCCCTCCCCTGCTCATGCTCTGTCT